CCGTCTCAAAAAAAAAAAAAAAAAAAAAATCCACAAATGATATCAGAAAGCATTTTAAGATAAAAGGTAGTGAGAACATAATGAAACTCATGGGATTCAGTGAAAGCAGTGCTTTGAGGAAAACTTATAGCAGAATTTATTAAAAAGCAGAAAAATCTCATATCAATACTTTAATATTTGCCAAAGCATTTAAGGAAATGAACCACCCAGCCCACTGGGGACAAAGAATATTGAAATTAAAGGAGTACAGCAATAGCATGTGGATATGAGTTGTATATTATAGATTAAAAGAGATTGGGGCTGGGCACAGTGGCGCATGCCTGTAATCCCAGCACTTTGGGAGGCCGAAGGATCACTTGAGGTCAGGAGTTCGAGACCAGCCTGACCAACATGGTGAAACCCCCATGTCTAACCCAAAAAAAACAAAATTAGCCGAGCATGGTGGTGCACGTCTGTAATCCCAGCTACTTGGGAGGTTGAGGCAGGATAATTGCTTGAATCCAGGAGGCAGAAGTTGCAGTGAGCCGAGATCATGCCACTGTACTCCAGGTTGGGCAGCAAGAGAGAAACTCCATCTGAAAAAAAATAAAAGAGTATGGGAGAACACAAAGTGGGACTGTGAAAAAGAGCCAATTACTTGGAGATAAAGGAAGAGAAAGACCCATACACAGTATCTGTCATCTTTGCTCCTTTTTAGAAAAAAAATTTATAAAGGCAAAATCTCTCTATGTAACCTAGGCTAGAGTGCAGTGGCTATTCACAGGTGCTGTCATAGTATGCTTTAGCCTTGAATTCCTGGCCTCATGTGATCCTCTTGTCTCAGCTTCTTGAGTAGCTAGGAATACAGGTGTATGCCGTCATGCCTGGCTGTCCTTAATTTATATACTAATCTTAAATTTCAACCTACTGCTGTATGTAAAATGATACAGCTGCTTTGGAAAACAATTTGGCAGTTCCTCAAAAAGTTAAATGTTGAATCACCATATGACCTAGGAATTTCACATCTACTTATATACTCAAGGGAATTGAAAACATATGTTAATGTAAAAACTTACACGTGGTTGTTGTTAGCAATATTATTCATACCAACCAAAAAGTAGAGACAAGTCAAATGGCTATCAACTGATAAATCAGCAAACACAATGTGGTATCACTAAACAAAAAGATATTCCATATAGTGGACTATTATTCAGCTAGGATTTCTTTTTGGTATTATGAGCATGTTCTAGGCCAGGTGTGGTGGCTCATGCCTGTAATGCCAGTACTTCGAGAGGCTGAGGCAGGCAGGTCACTTTAATTCAGGAATTTGAGACCAGTCTGGGCAACATGGTGAAACCCTATGTCTACAAAATTTACAGAAAATTAACATGGCATGGTGGCACACGCCTGTAGTTCCCATCTACTTGGGAGGCTGAGGTGGGAGGATCACCTGACCCCCTGGGAGGTTGAGGCTGCAGTGAGCCATGTTTACACCACTGCATTCCAACCTGGGTGACAAGAGTAAGATCCTCTCTGAAAAAAAAAAAGTTTCCAAAATCAGATAGTGGTGGTGGTTGTACATGTCTGTGAATATACTAAAACAACTGAGTTGTACTAAAATGGTGATTTGTATGGAATGTGAATTATATCTCAGGTTTTTTTGGTTTTGTTTTTGTTTTTGAGACGTAGTGTCGCTCTGTCGCACAGGCTGGAGTGCAATGGCACAATCTCAGCTCACTGCAACCTCCACCTCCTGGGTTCAAGTGATTCTCCTGCCTCAGCCTCCTGAGCAGCTGGCATTACAGGCACCCACAACTGTGCCTGAGGTCAGGAGTTCGAGAGCAGCCATGGGAAAAAAAAAAAAAAGAAAAAGAAACGTAACTTTTTTTTTTTGAGGCGGAGTCTTGCCTAGTCACTCAGGCTGAAGTGCAATGGCACGATCTTGGCTCACTGCAACCTCTGCCTCCCGAGTTCAAGCGATTCTCCTGCCTCAGCCTCCCCAGTAGCTGAGATTACAGGTGACTGCTACCATGCCCAACTAATTTTTGTATTTTTAGTAGAGATGGGGTTTCACCATGTTGGTCAGGCTGGTCTCAAACTCCTGATCTCAGGTGATCCACCTGCCCTGGCCTCCCAAAGTGCTGAGATTACAGGAGTGAGCCACTGCACCCAGCCAGTAATGTAATCTTTAAAAAAAGAAATCAACCTACTGCCTTCTCAGTGTTCTAAATCAGCCCTGCTTCTGCAATTCAAAAGCCAGGTCTATATCCCCTCTTTCCACTTACTCTCTATTCCCAGTACCCCTCATTGTGGTTTTTTTTTCTAGTTCAGCTGTATGTCAGAACATTGTTATTGTCTTTTTTTTTTTTTTTTTTTTTTTTTTCCTGAGACAGAGTCTCACTCTGTCACCAGGTGCCAGGCTGGAGTGCAGTGGCACGATCTCAGCTCACTGCAACCTCTGCCTCCCAGGTTCAAGCAATTCTGCCTCAGTCTCCTGAGTAGTTGGGACTACAGGCATGCGTCACCACACTCAGGTAATTTTTGTATTTTTAGTAGAGATGGGGTTTCACCATGTTGGCCAGGTTGGTCTTGAAGTCCCTGACCTCAAGTGATCCACCTGCCTCGGCCTTCCAAAGTGCTGGGATTACAGGTATGAGCCACTGCGCCTGGCCCTGCTTAATCTTAATATGCATTTATTACTTTCAAACATATTTTAATTATTTTTATTGTCGGTTTCCCCCTTGTTAAATATAAGCTCCATAATATCAGGAATTTTTTACTGTGATTACAAATTTGTGGTTAAACATGACAGAGTGACCATATGTTTACTGTTTTATTTTTGATCTCCTAAGGCTCTATCATCCCAAAGATACTAAGTAACAGGCAGAATTGCATACAGCACAAATTTTTCAAAGAAATGGGGTCTCCCTCTGTTGCTATGCTCTGCATTCACAGGCATGATTATATTTCTCTACAGCATCTTGGACTCGAGTGATTCTTCTGCCTCCACCTCCCGAGTAGCTGCAACTACAGGTATGTGCCTTCAGGCCCCACTTCTTTTTAAGCCATATAAAATTATAGTAAAGGAATAAAATGGATATAAACATGTAAGAACAGAATGGGAAAAGTAGAAAAAGAGAGCGAGCTTGTCTACATTTTTGGGAGAAGGAAATGTAGAGGAAGAGTTTTAACTGGTTTAACAATGCAGAAGAAGCAACAGCCTAGAAGTGAAATGAAATTGGAGCAGAAAGTGAACTGATTCGAACCAAGAACCCAGTAATGGTTCCAAACTGGAGGCTCTAGGTAGCTTAGGTTCAGGGAAGGCTCCAGATTCAGAAATACCAAACACCAGGCCGGGCGTGGTGGCTCACACCTGTAATCCCAGCACTTTGG